GGGGGGGGGGCGTTAGTGGTAGGGCTGCAGCTAACGATTATTTTCATAATCGATTAGTTGCCCGATTTTTATTTTTTCATTTGATTGCATTAAAAAATAAAATCTCTTGATAATGAGAATAGTTGCCAACTATTTTCATGATTTATTAGTTGCTGCAGCTCTAAAGAATTTGAGGCTGTGGTTGCTGCAACTTGCAAACATAATGTAAATGCGTGCTTACACATTTCATAATGATTTACTTTTCAGCTGAGTGAATTGGTAAACTTGGAAATTTTATAATAGAGAGCATATTTTTCTGGGGCTTTCTGAGCATATTATTGTGCATGAAATAGGAATGTCTTTAATTTTTACAGCAACCTAGATGATGTGCATTTCATACAGATGTGTAAAAAAAAAAAAAGTAAATATTTAAAATGGCTTGTGTCCCTTTAGCATAGTAAATATGTATTGCTGTGTAAAAGTACAAATTAGAATCTATCTGCTTTCTATACATTGAATTTAATTCTGCCTTGTCTGGCAGAGATCGATTCAGAAGAAGTAGATCACGTCTCAGATGGAGATCACACTCCCGTGGTGGCCGAAATCGCAGAAGGAGAAGTAGGAGTAAAGACAAAGAAGATAAGTTTAAAGGAAGCCTTTCTGAGGGAATGAAGATTGAACAAGAATCATCTGATGAGAAGTATGAACAATTTAAAAAAAAATTATTAATCTGTTTGTTACTGGATCTTTTTATTTTCTGAATGAGATTCTGTTTACTAAAAAAAGTAGAGGCTTTTCACTCAGCAAAATGAAGAGCCTAGGGGGAAAAGGTCTTCTACTCACTCCATCCCATCTCTGTCTGGGGTTGGTTGTGAGTGCTTTCACCATGCATAGACACTAAGGCTGATTTACTAATCCTGAATTTAAGAATGTTCACACAATCAGTTGTGTTTGTATTACTTTAAGGTCATCCAATCACATGCAGATGAAATAGGGTAGACAGGCATTTTCTTTTCCCATGACTGGGTAATTGAAGTGAATCTTTACACGTTATTAGGTGAACATTGCCGAAACCTTTAGTAAATCAGTATCTTGATTGGCTGCTACTACACAATCGATCATTCTGTGGCTTTGGTTTAAGACACTTCCTGGATGGTGACCACACCATTGGGAAGGATAAAAAAAAGAAGTCCCTATTAGAACTTGGGTCAACCTTTGCACTCGTATGTCCTTGATGTAGAACATAGTTTAGGTCTGGCTGTTTTTTGTGGCCAACACGGGAAGGCATTTTGAGAATCACTTATAGAGAAAGCATTTTAAGTTGCGATACAGTTACCCATTCACTTTCTCATATTCAACTGCACTATCAGAAGGCAGTAAATCGGACATCAGATGTAACAATTTCACCGTTTACAGAATAATTCTGTTTAGATGTGATTTTAATGTAACCATGGAAATGACTACGTTGATATCAGACTCTTCCAATTCCTCAAGCTTGGTTTGCTTTTCAGAGAGTTAGTGCACACTGATCACCCAGCAACCTATTTATTATTAGCATGAGAATGATTCTGCAAATTTCAGTTAGGCAATGCTTTCTGGGTCATTAAAGGTGTATATATTATTATGTTACCTATATTACTACATTATCTGTCAGTTGGCAGGATATGGGGTCCTGGAATGAACTGATGCCTGATAATTACACTGTGAAAATCTATAAGCTTAAGGTTGCATGCCTTCAACTGCACAGAAAGCCCAAGTGCAGTTACAAAAGATTATTTCATAAATACAGACGGGGCTGACATTTTACATTCTTGCTGTGTGAGGACAAATAATTTGGTTGCCTAGTGAGGAGGGTAAGTGTTTCTATGGCAAGCGTTTGTATTTTTTTCATCATGCCTTGTAGTGAAATAATAGCAGGAAGTGAATGATATAGTAAACAGGCAAAACAAGTAATCAGATGAGTGCATTTTTATAAAAAATATCAGTGTATTTACGTTTGCTTCAGGATAGACATACCACACATAACCAGGGGCTAACGTTACCTTTTCACTGATTGGAATTTAAAGGAGAACTATGGGGTCAGGGCTTTTCCCCATAGTTCTCCTAAGGGTAACGGGAGGACACAAACTAGCGTCCTCCCGTCACCCTAAGCTCAGTATACCGCGAGCTGTACTGAGATGCTGCAGCTGGGACGGATCCTGACATTACTGTCTAGATCCACCCAGCTGCGGGATTGACAGCTGGCTCTGCCTATCTACGCATCGCCACGTAAACACGCGTCGGGTGCGCCTACGACGAGCGCGCTACACATGTTGGGTATCGCCGCGCACGCCGGAGTGAGAGCAATAATTCTAGGGCCAGTATTTTGGGGTATCTCTAAATTGATGACATGTGGGGGCTTTTAAAGCGTCTTCTATGGACTTTTTGGGGTACTGCAGTTTTTCGCCTGTTCACGGACGCATGCAATTTGTAACCTGGGCATGCTGGGTATCGTTTTACTCGTTGTCAACTCATATTTTATATTTCATTACAAAATTGGTATTTGTGTTTTGGGGCATTTAATTAAATTTTTCACTAAATGTTGGGGTTTAATAAGGAGTTGCGCTAATATTGCGCAACATAAAATTTTGCAACTACCACCATTTTATTCTATAGGGTCTTGGCATTCAGAAAATATATAATGTTTGGGGGTTTGAAGTCATTTTCAGACCTAAAATGTGGAATATAACATGGGTGCAAAAAATAAAAAAAAGGCCTCAGTCATGAAGGGGTTAAAGAAGGGACATTTCTTCACTTTATATGGTCAACATTGTTTTCAGTCCAGTGCACTTTATTGTAAATTAGTAATTTCCTTCTTTTTAGTTTAGAGGATTATGATGTTGAAGAAGAAGATGAAGAAGCCCTTATTGAGCAAAGGCGACAGCAAAGGCTGGCAATTGTAGAGGTCAGTGTGAAACAAAATGGATCTGCTAATTTGTTATTTTCTCTGTTACCTTTATTCGAAAGAAAAGCCTTTTTATGTCAGCCTCTGTGATTAAGCATCCTGTAATTATTGGGGTTTGACTTCCCTAAATTCTGGGTTAAGCCCTGTCTGTCTGCCTGCCACACTCCTGTGGTAAGATTACTTCAATGGCCATAAAGGGGCCTCTTTCTTCAAAGCTTGCTGGCAGGTGAGTGAGGTTTATCTAAACCCTTAGCAACAATAGGAATCTAAATTGGAGATGCCCACAGAAGAGGATTTTCTGGATAATAAAGAAAGTAGCAGACGTAATTAAATTAAATTGCTGATGGGTTCACTTCAATACAGCACTTGAAACACTTTACTGCCTGCATAACCGCTCCCATTCCCCTCTATGGTGACTATAGACTGCAATTTGTACTGAGCTTAGGTGAAAGCACGTAGGACCATTTTAGAGATGAATGGGGCCTGGTAAGCACACGTTAATGAATGTTAGTGTTGTGAACTTGAATGCCTTTTTTTTTTTCTAACAGCTGAAATGTGGATTTTTTTTTTCTCCCAGAAATACAAATATGTAAATGAAGACAGCAATTTGTCAGGGAACTCGGAGCCAAGCAGTCCCCAGAGTAGTGCTCGCAGTCGTTCTGCTTCACCAGATGACATTCTCGAGCGTGTTGCAGCTGATGTTAAAGAATATGAAAGGGAGAATCTTGATAACTTTGAAGCTTATGTCAAAGCAAAACACAACTTAATGACGGAACAAAATAATGGTATGAGTGGAATGATGTCACATGTACATGTTTATCATTGTCGCCCTTTATTTTTAGTAGAATTAAATACCAATGTGTTATTTTACGTTGTAGGAAATCCGCAAAAGAAAATAACCGCTCCTGACATGTTTACAGAATCTGATGACATGTTTGCTGCATACTTTGATGTAAGTGAGACCTTTTGTGACCTGATTCTTTTACATATGTTAGATACTACAAGTAACGCTCAGTGAATAACTCTTCTTACTGTGTCCCATCGTTAATGCAATTTAAAGCTACTTCATGCTGTCCATCAAATACCTTGAGTTTAGAGATGCTCTGTAACAATCATGTTCCTTCCTGTTTAACATTTATGTGCCAGTCCATCATTGACTTTCCTGGCAGAGTTGTCAGTTCTTGCTAATTTCACATCTTATCTATTAATGCTTTGTTTTCAGAGTGCTCGTTTTAGAGCTGCTGGTATCGGAAAAGATTTTAAGGAAAATCCCAATTTGAGAGATAATTGGACAGATGCAGAAGGCTACTATCGTAAGTTGGTTTTTAAACTGAATTTTTAGCATTGTCTTCGACAACTATTCATATATGTTGTTTTATACGTATGGGTAGTCTGCTCAATGCCGCTATAAGTGTGCTTTAATCATAATAAAGTGGATCAATGGGTAAATTACCATTATAAGCTTTAGAGTCCAGCTGAGTTACACCGTGAAAAAATGGAGGATGAAATGTTTTCTGATGTCTGAGTATATATCTTGGGCAATCTGCTCTAGTGATATGCAGTTTATCTTGCCCATTATCATGAAAGAAGCTGATGGTTGCCAGAAAAGGAGCCTGATCTGTGTAACATGCAATGCAGACAGGGCTAGATATCTTTTTATAGTTTCCAGTGCCATTACTGTAAAGTGGAAGAAAATAATGCTTTTGTATCACAAGTTTGGTAATATCAATGTAGACTCCTTACAATTTGCATAATATATATTGCCTTAAGGTTATCATGTTAAATCTTTCCCCAATCAGTGTATGAAGCCAGACTGACCTGACGAAAGCTTATTTGCATTACTTTCTGTCTAATATGCTTGAATGTTCTTTATTCCCCCTATCCAGGTGTAAACATAGGTGAAATATTGGAGAAGCGGTATAATGTCTATGGCTATACGGGTCAGGGAGTCTTCAGTAACGTTGTGCGTGCTCGAGATATGGCAAGAGCTAATCAGGAAGTTGCTGTCAAAATCATCAGAAACAATGAATTAATGTGAGTTTTCTGCACTTCAGTTGCGATAAAAATTATTTAAACTAAACTGTTATTTATTTAGGAACTTAACAAAATGTGTCTTATAGGTAGAGAGCTGCAGTTCGCTCATGTTTTTTTATGTAGCTTGTGCATCGTATTTAAAGTAAAAATTACATTTGGTTAAATGTATGTAAATCTGCACTGCGCATAAAAATCTGGTGTGGGAGGGGGTGGGCCAGCGGGTCCTGGGGCAACCAAAAAAAAACATGAAAAGGTATGTACCTGTACAGGTGGTCATTGCTGTTGTAGGTTTGAATACTTTTATCAAAAGGAACATTTCTTTAACCCCTTCGTGACTGACGACGTACGTCGCCAGCATCGGGGCTGTTTAAACAGACTCCCGGTGACTTTTGCCGCCGGGACTCTGTTTAAACTTGTAGAGCCTTTACCACAGAAGCGATCCTGGCGACTTACCTGTCGCCAGATCGCTTCTGCGTCCCGAAGAAGGGGCCGCCTGATCCCCACCTCCCCACCGCGGGGAGCTGGGGAGGAGGTCGACGAACTCCCGTTTGGGGGGTTTTAAGTAATTTTCAGGCCTAAAATGTGGAATATAACATGGGTGCAAAAAATGAAAAAAAGGCCTCAGTCATGAAGGGGTTAAGCTAAATATGTGCTTCTTCTAAAGCTACCCTTTAGATACTAGGTGCAAGATTGTACCTATAGCTACACTGTTCTCATTTTTAGAATCCTGCTAGTCCTGAATGATGCACATTTGTGCAAATCCCCATTTTGCTAAATCTGTTTTTGCGTAGCCTTATACATGCCCCTCTCTCCATGTGACCATATTCAGGCATGCTACTTCCTTTTTACATTTTCTGATGATAAAACAGCAGCCAGTTTTTCCTATTTTCCTTTCTCTCCATAAAGTAAAGGACAACGGTTTTATATCTATATGGTTAGTGACCAGGATAATTTGTACATGCATAGTTCTTGGTTTTCTACATTTGTTTTTTTTCAAAAATATATTGCCAAGCATATTACACTGCACTTTTTTTAACCTTTGTACAAATCTGTTATCCGTCCACAGGCAAAAAACTGGCTTGAAAGAATTGGAGTTTTTGAAGAAGTTGAACGATGCCGATCCAGATGACAAGTTTCATTGTTTGCGGTTGTTCCGACACTTTTATCATAAACAGCACTTGTGTCTTGTATTTGAACCACTCAGGTAACTTTAATTTCAGATTTCTGGCTGTATAGTCATGCATTTTTCACAGTGCCAGCAACTACTTTTTCTTTTTTTTCCCAGTATGAACCTGCGGGAGGTTTTGAAGAAGTATGGCAAAGATGTTGGTCTGCATATCAAAGCTGTGAGGTCGTACAGCCAGCAACTATTTTTAGCTTTAAAGCTTCTGAAACGATGCAATATCCTGCATGCTGACATCAAACCGGATAACATTCTGGTATGAAACATTAAAGACTAGTGTGATGGATAGATGAATGGATATGCAATTGCTTTTGTAGTGGTAAATGCTAGAAGAGGAAGTCAAAACTGGGTTTTTTTCTGGATAAATTGTGAAGGGTTAGAACATCCAAGACTTCGCTGACCTTTGCTGTACAGACAGTTGGAGAAAATCTCCCCAGCTGCAGCACAGTGATCTTAACCCAACAGGGGTTCTAACCCTCCTCTAGTTCAGTAGCCTTATATAATAATAAATGTTTTGGCTGTTTTTAAAGAACTATGGGGGGTTAGTGTTTTTCCCCATAGTTCTAAGGATCATGGGAGGACATGTACGAGTGTTGTTCCGTGACCCAAAGCTCAGTATATTGCAAGCTACGGCTCACGGTATACCGAGACCGCCGCAGCCGGGGCGGATCCCGACATTAATGTGACAGCTGGCTCTGCCTATCTAGTCGGAGCCAGCTGTACTCACCCCCTCCCCTGTCTGTTCCGCCAGTCAGCGCTGGAGGGGAGAATCCCTGCAGGGAGCAGTGAGTGACATCCACGGCTCTCTGCAGGGAGGAGATTGAGAAGTGAGCGAGCGACGGTATGTGTTCGCTCACTTCTCGGTCTATTGAGCCGATGTGTGACATTTTCATTGTCACACGTCGGCTCGAACTATGAGATTGAGAGAAAATCACTCACCTCATAGTTCTCCTTTAAGGCAAAACTAAAGTTTCACTTTTTCCTCAATGCAAACACTATGATGTTATTCATTGTCCTGAAGCAAGCAAAGGGCATGTTAGTGAAGCATACCACTGTGCTTTACAGATGCTGCATTGTGTTGGTTTTCTTTTTGTAAGGTCAAACAAGTGCTTTGTAAATGGCCTGCAGTCTGGCTGGAGGCTCCCTTTAACAGAGCCCCGATCACTTCATGTTTTCAAAATCCTCTGTCCAATGTCTTTTTGTCCATCTAAACTTCATAACTTTGAAGCTGCTCTTTGCCCATACAGGAAAAGCAGTAGGTTCACTTTGATTCACCCTCCCCAGTTGTTACCACATCTCTGTTCAGCTGCCAGGAGTGAAGAAAGATGGCCCCTTGTAATTACCAAGTGGCTGCAGCCAGAACTTGCTCAGCGCTGAGGACTCTCTCTGCCTCGTTGTGGTAATGATAGACTAATCTCCAAGCCCCAGGGCTGTCAAAAGCTTCTCCATACCCATACCCAGAAGAAAGGGAAATAAAAGCACACATGTTGCTTTGTCCTACAATTGCTGTAAAGAATTTCTGCATTTTGTTTTATATTTAGTAATATTTAGTTTACAGGTATATAGTTTTTATGTTTAGTTTCTATATAGTAATATGTATTAAAATATAAGCCATACATATCTTTCTGTTTTCTGATTCTTGTTATTAAGGTAAATGAATCCAAAACCATCCTCAAGCTCTGTGACTTTGGGTCAGCATCTCATGTGGCAGATAATGACATTACCCCATACCTTGTCAGTAGATTTTACAGAGCTCCTGAGATCAGTAAGTACTTCTGGTATATTGACTTTGTAAAGAGTGGTTAAAATGTAAATCATTTTGTGCTATGCTGTAAAAGTCATTTTCTAGGGCATTTGATAGTTACCTTGTAGTATTTTGCAGTATACAAAGTATTATCTTCTACCTGTAAATGATTTTGGATAATAATTCTGCTGTTTTTCCTGCAGTAATTGGGAAGATATATGATTATGGAATAGACATGTGGTCAGTTGGCTGCACGTTGTATGAACTCTACACTGGAAAAATATTATTCCCTGGAAAAACCAATAACCACATGGTAAAATTAGCCATGGACCTAAAAGGAAAAATGCCAAACAAGGTAATGTGGTTTCTACAGCTGCTACTTATCTTCTGTACCATAGCAAAAAGCAGTCCTCAGGTTTTAAAAGATGCTCAATTTCCAAGATATACCTCAAGGCCGTGTGTGACCTCTCCTTAGCATGTCTGTAAAACTTGCACAGCCCCATCTATGCAGGAGCGTCTGCACACCATAGAGGTCAACCGCTACTGGGGGGGTTACCCCCCTCACTTCCTGCCTGGGGTCACTGCAGTGGCAAGTGGGGACATAGAAAAACAACGATTTTCCCTATGAGAGCACCGCCTGCCCCCTTGACCCTCTCATATACCTGTCCCCAGTCCAGCAATATTTTGCTTTCTAGATTGCCTGGCAAATTGTCAGAAGCCTTCCTGGCTTCACTATCGCATGCGGTTTGCATCCCCACTCATTCCTTTGAACTTCTGAGTATAATTTTGTCCTCTGAAGTCCATGGGAATAAATGGGATTTCAGATTTCGTGTGCGACCCCTGTCAGGACAGGAAGGTTTTTGACAATCGGCCAGGTGATCTAGACTGTGATGTCTCAATGAATCAGGGACAAGGTAGTGTAACACTATGATGGCAGGGTGTGCAACATATTTGGTGCAGGTCCCCGTCCTTACTAGAGCTGCAGCTAACGATTATTTTCAAAATCGATTAGTTAGCCGATTATTAAGTTCGATTAATCGGTTAATCGGATAAACTATAAAATAAAGTTTAAAAAATGGCTCCAGTGATGGGACTACTAGTTTGTATTGAGGTTGTAGTCCATCACAGGAGCAAGCTTGGACCGGTGGAAGTAAAAAAGAAAAAAAGATAGTGTGGTGTGCAATATAGTGAAATGGAAAGTGTAAAATTATACAGCAATGCATGCAGAATGGCAACGGTTATAGAGGACTACAAAACCCAGCAAAAGCACATTATACAGCACAATGCAGAATACCGCCAGCTATAGAGGAATACAACAAATCCCAGCAATAGTACATAATAGCTGGCGGCATTCTGCATTGCGCTGTATAATGTACTATTGCTGGGTTTTGTAGTCCTCTATAGCTGGTGGTATTTAGCATTGTACCACTTTATAATGTATTATTGCTGGGATTTGTTGTACTCTTCTACAGCTGGTGGTATTCTGCATTGCGCTGTATAATGTATTATTGCTGGGACTTGTAGTCCTCTATACAGCGCAATGCAGAATATCACCAGCTATAGAGGAGTACAACAAATCCCAGCAATACATTATACATACAGTGTATAATGTATTGCTGGGATTTGTATTCCTCTGTATAATATACAGCACAATGTACCATCAGCTATAGAGAAATACAAATCCCAGCAATACATTATAGAGCACCATGTGTGGGAAAGTGCAGTCTTCCAGCAACGTGCTTCTGAGATCGGACCTGTCTATCAGCAGCTGTCATCCCCCCACACCTGCTCCTCCTTACTACATCTCCCCGCGTCCCTGTGCCGATCGTGGATGTGGATGGGCAGGAAATGTGAGGCGGGGAGGAGGTGCGGCGTGTGGAGCGTGGATGCGAGCGGGTCTGGCAGCGGCGAGCGTGAGGTGGGGAGGAGGTGCGGTGCACAGCGTGTGGAGCTGTGAACAGGGCCAACTGATCAGAAGCCGATTAATCGATTATTGAAAAAGTTGACAACTTTTTCAATAATCGATTATAATCGATTATGTCGATTAGTTGTTGCAGCCCTAGTCCTTACTCTTCTCCAAAATGAATAAAATTCTGGTTTGAGTTCAGTTTAACCCTGCAGGGCCCCATCTGTTAATCCGTTTACTTGGGTTCTGCTAAAAGGATTGAGTAGTCTACCGATCTCAGAGCCCACATAAAAGGCTGATGTGTTAATACTGACTTTTTCTCTAAAGTTGGGTTGTTCATTTACAAGTTGACAGTGACGCAGTCATAGGGGTGGAGCTAAGATTCAGTACGGAAATATGGTGTATTAGACATTTCTTTTCTACGCAGATGTTTTTGTGGCAATTTATGAATGCAATGGACTTTTGAGGTTGAGTTTTGTTGTTCCTGTATAGAAGTACAAAAGCTCTACTAACAGTTTAGCAATTTTTTTAATATTTGCAGATGATCCGGAAAGGTGTCTTTAAGGACCAGCACTTCGATGCAAATCTTAACTTTATGTATATTGAAGTTGACAAAGTTACAGAAAGAGTATGTATTATTTATTTTTTTGTATTATACCTGAATTAAGTTTTTGAAGAGAATCATGTGTTTTGCTAAGTAGATCCCTGATGATAAAAATGCACTCTAAACAGCATATGGTACTGTGCAAACCTCCATAGTAGTATACATTTCCACATTCTCATACTTCCATGGGTGGCTTACAGGAAAGGAATATTACAGTAAGTAATGTGCAAGTTGTCTTTATTGCACATGTGTTCACCTTTATGTCTTTAAACCCGACCTAAAGGCAAACAGTGTTGTAAAGTGTTTAACATAGTACAATTAAAGTGTACAGGAAAAAAAATGCAATGAGTATATGAAGCCCGGACTTTTTATAGTTTTTGATGGGGTAAGTGTTTTTAAAATCCTGTAATGATATGGGGCTTTTATGGTTTCACACCATACATCACATCTATCAAGCACAACAAGTTTATTAAAAAAAAGGTTTTATTAGTTAAAAATCAGTTTGATTAAGGTACTTTAAATATATCCATTATCATTTGAGTGCCTATCGCCAGCATGGT